TAAAGAAAATCTCCATGCGTTGCCCTCGTGTTCTGTGACTCGAGCTCAGGCTAAGAAATTTAGCCAAAAACAAATAATAAGCATGGATTCAGAGGATTAGATTATACATTTGTCTCAGACATTTTTTGATCCGACAGGGATCTTGTGAATGATCGTCCTACTGACAATACCTCAGTGAGTGACAACAATGGACATGAAGGATTTGATTCATCTAGTGAAGTTCCATTTACTAAAAGTAAACTGATCACTGAACGAGAAAAAGAGTTGCAGATCACTTCATTATTTAAATATGCACTCCCAAAAGATGACCCGGAGAAAGTTCCAAATTGTTATTTTTTTCAAAAATGGTGTGCTTTTGGGGAAATGGACACCACCAGATGTGCTAGCTTCAGAGGATTGGGCTATTGTTTATCAAGTCGTTGTTTCCAAAGCATATCGTTCAGAAATACTGAAAGTTGCCCATGAACTTCCCATGAGATATCATTTAGGTGTCAACAAAACAGGTGAAACAATTATGAGATATTTCTTTTTGCCAAAATAAGGCAAGAAATTTATCTGTTTTGCAAAGCTTGTCATATCTGTCAGTGGGTCGGAACGCTTAACCAGAGAAAGAAAAAGACAGACAGAAAGAAAAACAGAAAGACAGAAAGAAAAAGACATAAAGAAAGAAAGAAGACAAAGAAAAAAGAAAAAGACAGAAAGAAAAAAACAGAAAAATCGAGAGAAAGAACGAAAGAAAAAAGAAAACACACACACAAAAATAAAACATTAGACTGTTAAATTGCAGTTTATCACTATGAGAATATGTTTTGGAGATAATTCATGTCATAAGAGTTTATAACACTTTTTTTGATGTACTTTCATGTACTATAAAATTTTATGATCATAAGGTGATTTGTATTGGTTGTGTTTACATACTGTAATTATTATTGAAGGTTTTATAATCTTTTGAATAATGTATTATATTTAATGTAATGTTGTCAATATATATATAATATCTTAGTTAAAAATTGTCTAAAGCCAATTTTCAATTCTCTAAGGAGGATTTGTAACAAATTTGTTGTTATGTATTTATTTTAATATCTACGTTGTTTAGATTGAGTTGGCAACTCCCGCCTATTCTCCAAAGTTGTAGAAGATTCTCGAGAGTAAGAATCAACAATATATGTGTGTGTATGTAAATGCTTTAACCAGTATTGTTACATAAGACTGAAGTTTCTGGAAAACGCTCCCACGCTATAAATACGCTAACTAACACCACGCGCTATAATTGATGTGCTATAAACTTTGGAAGCTATAATTGTGATTTTTAGAACGCTTATCAATCGGAAAACTTAAAATATTCGACCAAGAATATTTATAAATTTCGAACATTACAAATCGTTTAACTTCACTGGATTCTCATGGACGAAAACATTACCAACTTCAACGGTGGA